GGCCTTTAGGCTTAATACGTTGTTTGGCAAGTTAAGTAAGAAATTGTGTGACTGGTTGTTAATAAAATCGTGTTGCAGACTGGATGTGAATTTGCACAGATGTCCATGCACATGCTGATAATTCATTTTACCTTTTTGCTGTATTCAGTTATTAACCATTTGACAAACAGAGAGAACCACACAGCTTTTTTCTCCAGCAAGGCTGCAACGTCTGTGAATTCTCTTTTGTAAATTTATAACGTATAAAAGGAAATGACCTGCTTCACAAAATCAGAATTTTGCGGGCTGTAAAAGACAAAGTTGTCACTCCTGTTGTATTTTTCCAGTTGTTAAATATCATTGAAGTCATTACTTAAATCTTTGCTGCCATGGTGTTATTATGCTCCGTAGGAGATATGTGCACCTGTCTAAGATATCCTGTTTGATGGAAACATGCTATAAGTGGCGCATGTACATGTGATCAGTGAGCAGCTTCATTTAAACAAAGAGCACCACAAAGATGAAGAAACTTGCTTGCACTGAATGACAGTAAGCTAAACACTGATGGTTAGCGCTTGCAGGGACGGTAGCATTACCCTTTAATGTTTTTATGTACAATGGTGTTGTAATGGTATAAAACTGGTATAACTTTAGACCAGCTGTTCTGCTGTTGCTCGGTTTTTTGTTGTTTGTTTTGTTTTTTTTATTTGTTTGTCATCTGTCTGTCTGTCTGAATGGAGTAGATGATAGGAAGCGGCTTTGTTTGCCTGTCTTCAGCTAAGTCAGAGGTAAGACTCTTTCCTGTGTGTAGGCGTGTTTATATGTGGTTGTATTTTAAATGTGTATGTGTGTGTTAATCCAAACATTTCCATCTGGATGTTACTGTTTTTGTGTAGAGTTAGTTATTCATAAACAGCTCCTGACTTCACAGTAAGCCTTAAATCCACCCCCATGCTCCCATTTTAAGCATCAAGTAGTGCTGATTAAAAGACACAACTGAGAAAACTGAGGCTGCTTGTCTAATGTAACACTTGATATTCTGATTCTCTGAGCTGTGATCACAGTTTAAATCTCTCATGTGTCCAGATAGAACTGCAGTCTAAAGAAGTTTTGAGCGATATAGTTTCAACAGAAACTGAGAACCGCAGATTTCAACAGCTCAACTCAGATTCAGACCTGCACCGAAAAGGAAAATAACAGCGGCTTTATAAGAACCTCTAAAAACATTGAAAAAACCAAATAAGCAAATTTTCTAAGCTTTGTTTTTTTTTTTAATCAAACTGGTGATGCTGCATCTTCATGTAATACCGACTGCTGGAATTGACTTAAAATAAACACGATTCATTTCTCCCAAAAGTGTTATTTCAATCCCAATTTAAGTGCCCGAAAATATTTGAAAACACTTTCTTGGTTTTAGGAGCCATCTACAATGATAAACATGACTGGAGAGTTCTGTGTTAGTTTGGGTGTTTTTGTGTATTTGTGCAGGACTCAGAGGGTGTGGCCATTATGCTGGGTGTGTGCAATAGTGGTCTGCTGGTCTACAGAGATAGACTGAGGATCAACAGGTTCTCGTGGCCAAAGATCCTGAAGATTTCGTACAAAAGAAACAACTTCTACATCAAGATCCGACCAGGAGAGGTAAGAACACACATTGATGACCTTCCACAAGGTGGCTTTATTTCACTCACTGTTAAACAGAGTATTATGATACATCTATGTTGATATATCTATGTTACACTGACCCTTATGCTGTACTTCAGCAGCGTAATGTTTCTGTAATGTTACTTAGTCCCTGCAAAATGCTCAAGCATAGTTTGACCACTGAATGAGAAGCCATTTCATATCCAGGTGTAGACTGTTTCCTCATTATTTTACAACAGTTTTCTAAAATAAATGGTCTTGAGTTGATAGCATTTGGTTACGTCTCATAATTAGCAAAAAACATAAACATAATAATTTGAGTGTTTTGAAAGGCGCTTTCAAATAAAATGTATTATTATTATTATTATTATTATTAATGAGCAAAAAACATAATTTTCAAAGATTGAAAAAATTCAGGGAGTGGCAAAATAAACATGCTTAAAAAGAATTAGGTCATTCATAAACTTCTCTAGTGCTGTGTCTGTATTACAGTGGACTAAATCCTGAGTGGAACTGTTTGCACAGTGCGCAATGTGGGAGTCACTTTTAACCTGGTTACAAATAAACAAGTGTGGCTGAGCTGCTCATCCTATTGCTAAGCACAGACACACTTCAAAGAAAACTTGTTTACATTGCTTGTATCAGCTTATTGGCTTGTCACCATAGGTGAACACTGGAACGTAGATCAACCAGTAAATCAAAAGTTTTGCCTTAACCTCCTAAGACCTGAACTCTTCCACAGCATGCATTTTTAATTTCACTTTGATATTTGGACATATTGGGCCATATGAATGCAAAAACAAAGAATTACCAGCTTTTTTTTTTTTACCTTGTTTTTGTTTTTAAGAAAAATAAGAGCCACATATGAGGATATTCATTTAAAAATTTGATAGAACAGTAGCAGTATAATGTCCTCATAAAAGGATATCAGGCCCTTGCAGAGCAAAATTGAGTATTTTGGTCTAAATAACCCAAAATGTGATGTCCACATATGTGGATGCCAGGCCACACACCACAACAGCCGATTAGAGTGTTCACATTACTGCAGATCCTTCTGTCTGTCAATACTGCCCTCCACTCTTCCCACCTCACAAAAAAAAGAGCTGAAAATGATAAAACTCTTCCACTCACTCCAAACCCAGAGTGGGCGTGGAACCGTTTTCTATCTGAGGACCAGGGCCTTAATCTTGGATGTTTCTCACCAGTGTGGTTTATATTCAGATACACACCACTTCACTGCTAATTGAAGTTCATCATATGAAGACTAGACCACAGACCATGGTTAAGACCGTCCTCTGCTGCTTGGCTGGACACAGAAATTCTTTCCATAAAAATTACAAAGAGAATCTTTGACAAAGAGCAGCTCTGGCAGAGTCCATCAGCCACCGCTGAACTCCCGTGCACACTTGAGTAAGGTCAAGAGCTGGTCCACACCCATTGCTCTTAATCACTACAACTGATGGACGGACACTCCTCTCTGAGACTCTGGCACAGATTATTCCAGGGAGACTAAGAAGTATGATCCCCTGAAATTTGGAACACATTCTCTGGGCCTCTTTCCTGAAAAGAGGAACCCCGCCTCCAGTCTCCTCGTCCAGAGTTACTGCTCCAGACCTGCAAGAATGTTGTAGAGGCTTGTAAACCAGAAACACCCCACCTTATTCAGACATCACATTCAAAATGTGTCTGAATTTAGTTTAGTGATATTGGTATAGGATGTGCGAGAGTGACACCTACTGATGGGTTTATTTTAAAGCTAAGATGTTGATAAATAATCTGTCTCTCCCCGTCTTCAGTTCGAGCAGTTTGAGTCCACCATTGGTTTTAAGCTGTTCAACCATAGAGCTGCTAAGAGACTCTGGAAGGTGTGTGTGGAACATCACTCCTTTTTCAGGTCAGTCAAGATCATGTCACAACATGTGGTTTGTTTCAGAAATCATGCGATCAGTTTTGTGACAGCCATCTTTTGTCTCCTTACTTCTCTCTGGCCTGCCCTCCACCCTGTCTGTGTGCTTGTTTTTCAAATTCTCCTCATCTCATCTCCCCTTGCTCATCTCCATCTTATTCTCTTCCCTGTGTGTCTCTCCTCTCTCAGGCTATTATCACCAGAAGAAACTCCTAAGAAGTTCCTGACTCTGGGTTCAAAGTTTCGTTACAGCGGTCGGACTCAGATTCAGAGTCGCAGAGCCAGTGCTCAGATATCCAGACCAGCACCGCATTTCCCACGATGTATCAGCAAGAGGAGCATGTTGAGCCGCAGTTTAGATGGAGGTACTCGTGAATTCTGCATCAGTTATGTTTCCCAGAGTGCTAACAGGGTTAATATGGGTTATTAGTATTGCGCATTGTAAACAGTTTGCAATGAGAGAACTGGTCACTATAGCTCTAGTTGTATCATACTGGTCCAAGTAGTAATACTAGTGGCAATAGTGCATCCAACTGTACCAAGTTTGGAAGTCAAATTTTTCCTTGTATTTACTGGAATATTCCGAGTACTAGACCTGTACTACAAAGGAGGAATGGGGAATTTGAACTATGAGTTTGTTTTTCTTTCCAAGGCCAACTAGGTCAGTCCATCTTTTTTAATGTTGTACCAACATTGTCCATTTATATGAATATGGTACTCGCTGTTTTATAAGTATTAATTGTAATCTTGGTTACTGGATTTTTATGAAGCCACATATAACAAAAACATATGGATATTTTTTTGTGTTAGCTAGCTCAGCAAAGTCAAAATGACTTGAGCAGTATTATCAAAGTCCTGTGTGGAGTAGTATGCACTGTGCTTACAGCTGGTTAAGTAACTGAACCAAGGTTTGTGTCTATGTTTTCTATGTTTGTATGCTCCATGTCATTCTTTCTTTCCAATTGTCGCACAAATGCAGTGAGCCACAGTCAAATTTCACCATGTGAACACATCCTTTGCTCAATCCAGTAGCAAACTGCTCATGACCAGTCATTTGGAATAATGGGTTTCATTGTTGCATTGTATTGTGAGTTTGTCTTCTCTCTACCATAAACTCTGTTTTATGCTTACTACCTATACTTTTCCCCCCTCTTAACTTTCCCCTTACCTCACAACTGTTTGTGACAAATGGCTGCCCTTCCTGGTTCGGACAGTTAAAAGGGAGTTCGTCCTCCACACTGTCACCAAGTACTTGCTCACATAGGATTGTCTGTTCTTTGGAGTTTTCTCTCCAGTATTGTGGGACATTGAGTCAACGGCTGTTGTGAATTGGCGCTCTTTCAATCAGACTGAAATGAGTTATATGAAGAAGACTGTTAGGTACTGGCTCTATGCCTACTGCATAATTTTAAAAGTGTAATTTGTATGTACAGTCCAGGAGAAAATCTTTTTTTCTTTTTTTTTGGTTTAAATGGGGGTATATTATTGTATTTATATCCTGTTTTTGTTTCCTATATACTCCCAACAAAACAAAAAAAAGAGCCATTATAAACCTGCATAAAGATACACTTGTTCAGCATAAGTTACTCTAGAGTTCTAGCCAGGTTGAAAACAAGCAACCATCCTGATGCTAAGAACTCTGACTCTAGGTTTAGCATACCTCACTAACCCATTAGCCTTATGTTTAGGTTCAGCACTGACTGATTAGTTCATTCTTCCTCAGTATTTGACCAGTTTGTGATTGGTTCTCAGCTTCACAGACTGGACCTACCTCCTCTCCGATTGTCTCTCAAGCCATCACAGCTTCCCCAAAAGTCAATGGTGGCACTCACACAGGTAGTGCTCAATACTGCAGTTGCACTGCTACTGGCTGCTGTGGTACTGCTCTGTGACTGGGCTCCGATCGCTTTATTCAGCTTGTTCAGGAATGCTGTGTACTTGGTTACTCTGCTTCACTCCGATACACCTGATAACAGCTGTACATTTCTGTTCATTCTGCTCACATGCCCTCAGACTTGCATCCTGTTTTCAGCAGAATGCAAAAGTATTACATGTTTGCCACATGTAAGGTTAAACAACCATATCGCTCAAATAAACCTGTTGCCAATATTTTGATGTCCAGATAATTATCTGACAGAATTTTTCAGTCTCAGTGCACGGTTATGTTGACACTAGTTATTAGCCCCATTAACCACACAGCTAACAGAGCTCAATGAGCCATGATATTCAAAATAATATGCGGTCATGGCTTGGTGGTGGTTCTGAATGCTGATTGGCCCAGGCTACTGTGCATGCACCCTGAGCTGTTAATTGGCTGAGTGTGCCATTACTCTGACAGAGAAGTCGTGATGCTTTGCTGCTGATGAGAACAAACACAGCTTGAATGAGCATCATAGTGGTTGCTGTCTTTACTGTTGTACCTGTTGATGTTATTGTGATGACATTAGGGCTGGTGCACTTCTGTGTGTGTATATAGATATGGGTTCTGGGCTGTATGGAGCATCTAAAGCCATCGCCATCAGTGACCTCATCACAACAGTAACACCTGAGAAGAGAATGGAAGAGAGCAGTGAAGTTCAAGGTAAGAAACAATGTCTGTGGTTGATCTTGAACCAGATACTTAATCTGTCAAATTATCTAAGACCTTGCACAAACTTCTCTTTTTTTCCTGTGTCACCCTAGTTGAGGAGGTGCAGGAAGTGGAGAATGTGAATGAAAAGGAGCAAGAGGAGGAGGAAGAGGAAGAGGAAACCAAAGAAACAGAGATTTCACAGCAGAGTACTCTCACTCCTCAGAAAATAGACACCAAAGTAATTGTCTCACCTGTCAACCCAATCTGACCAGTTTTCTATTGCTGTATGAAAAACTAGATTTTGGGCCCCATGTTTCATGTTGTGCTGTGTGGCAGGTAGGGTGTAGGACCCACCTACACCCCGATCCACCTTAAACACAGCTTTAATCCTGGGAAAACAAACTCTTCATGGGAAATAATCTTTACAAAATAAACCAAAACCTTCAAACACTAAACTGGGGACAGGAACTTAGAAACTGGGAAACAAACAGAAACACAAAACAATAATGTGAGTACAACGCAACACAGGGCAAGGAAAACACAGGGCTTAAATACAGCTGGGAGAAATCAAACTTAACGAGGCAAGGGAAGCAAAACTAGACACACTGACATGAGACACGGACTTTCAAAGTAAAACAGGAAACACAACAGGCACAGACACTGAACAAAACCTACACTAAACTCTTAACCAGAATTAAACTGAAACATAGGCTACAGAATAGTAACAAAATACAAGAAACTAAAAATGCTGGGTCAAAATCACCCAGAACCATGAAACCATGAAGGCCCACAAACATTTAAAATGGTGTGTTAACCCCATACAGGTGCCATCCTTCTCATTAAATCAAGTTTGTGTTACTCTCAGCAGCTGGTAAAATGAAAAAAATACATATAATACAAACGTAATAATAATCTGACATTCCTACTGAAGTTCTCTATGTGCTCAACTTTATATTTAGTTTTTACAAAAGTAGATGTTTTTACCATTTGAATCCTCGGTTAAAGAGCAGCTTGCAGGTTAAAGATTCTCTTTATTTGCATATAATATTTGTTAGGAATCAGTTTGGAAGTGAACACATGCATTTTACATGGTTTGCAAGAGAGTTATTTGGTGGTTTGTGCAGAGGAAGAAAGGTCTTTGCTGCTGTTTCAGTCATGAAAGAAATACATGCGCGGTTAATTTAAGTTCCTGGGTGTAAGAAGCCTTGATTAGAATTTAGAAGCCAGAACTGTATGATACTAATAGCTGGTGTAGTTCTTTCACTAGTGTCATGGGTGGGTGAGAGACACAGTTTAACAAAAACCCATTTCCTATTGCTGATATCGACCTCATCAGCTACTCTCTCTCCTGTTGCAGTCAAGCTGATTTTAGAGGTGGACAGAAACTCTGCTACAAAAACAACTTTAAAAGGATTATTTCAATATGTGCATTTTTGCCTCATTGCTTAATTTTCCCTCTGAGGTCCCAAACCTGCAAGTTGCTCTTTGAAACTATTTCAGATCCTACCACACTTCATTTCACAGCAGAAGGCGAACTAACTGGTTTTGATCTGGAGGTTATATTTGCACTGATAATTCAACTTAAACATTTTTTTTTTTGCTTACTTACTTTTTCTTGTTCAGACTGAGCTAACTGATACTGCTGTGGACGAAGACCTGACAGCTACTGAGGTACACATCTGTGATCGTATGGTTAATAATTCCATTGTGGAAAGACTTGTTAACATAACCTGTCTCTCTGCCTACCTATCTATCTGACAGTCTGACCAAGATGAAGATTTGAAAACTCAGGTAACGCCTGAACTATTTTTTCTTCATATGTGTTGATCCCTCTTCTGTCTCATCTTACATCTCCCCCCCTCTCTCTGCCCTGTCTTTAGGGTAGTCCTGAGGAGATGCAGAAACCTCAGAGCACCATCAGCGCCCTCAGACGCTCCTTTTTAGAGGGAGGAGAAGGAGAAGGAGGAGGAATGACAGAGTGGGAGAAGCGTCTGGCCTCGTCACCTCTCCGAAGGGTCGATGACTCCCCAATGATTGAACCTCTGGAGCCCGATGAGGTGAGACAGTCATGGATGGGTTATCTTGTGGCATTGGGTTCACAGACACCTGCAGTTGGTAAATGTTGTTTCAGTGCTGTGACTTGGAATTTTTTCCATTAATTGTGATGTAGCACATTGCCACAGTTTGTGGGTTGAATATTTACAATACACATCTTTGAAGTTAAACTGTTTTTTTGTCAGGTACCTTTTTTTTGGTAATGTGTGTGTAAAGCTGTGCTCACTTGCATAAAAGTGTTGCACTACAGGAGCCAGTGCCATTATCCCAATTTGCTGTTAGCATGTTGATAAGAAAACTAATCCCAATCTTATCTTTCAGATGTCGGGCTTGCAGACATTTAGACTGTCTCAATAGTTTTGAAAATTCTTCATGGGCCCAAGTTAACCAGCCCCGAGGAAAACCCCCAGTAGCAGGAGGTGAAAATAGATCTACAGGTCACATGTCTATGTGCTTGTTGTTACCTCCTGTTGCCAGTTATAAACGGGAAATATTGATCTGTATCTCAAAGCTGATTGATTTATGACCCTTACGATCAGTAGAAACTTCCTAGAAGTTTAGTTGCTCTTCAGCTCAACAACAGTAGAATTTAAGCTGAAACTGGTGGAACTTGAATAAAACCTCAATGTAATATCAAATAAACTTTGGATAAGCCTTGGTGAGAAAGATGGCGTTCAGTATCTTGCCCGTTCAACATTCACACAGGCAGACAGAGCTGATCTGCATCTGTCTGGCTTCACCGCCGCTACTTTGAGTCATTAAACTGGGCCTTCCCACTGGATTTGTGTATTGTGTTACGGCCCAACCAGTTTCACTATAGTTTCAGAGAATGAAATTCTACTGTTTTATTAGTCTGTAATTTAGCACTAGTTAGCCAGTAGCACTCATACCATTTACAGTATGTATGAAGCTTGTGTTGTTTGTATTATTTGTTTATAACACTACATCTAACCACTACATCCTCTCAACAAAACATAGTAACTTCTAGCAACAATCAAACAAAGGAAAAACAAAGAAATATGGCAGCAACCAAATCAGGTGTTATGCTTTAAAGTCCAAAATGACTGGATTATTGCTGTCATGATGGCTATATCTTTCTTTTGCGCTCAGGAAACTGGTCTCGTATGTCACATGATTTCTTGCTGAGTCTGTGCTTATTTAATATTGCTTACCTGTGCGCTCCAGGAGGGCGGGTTCATGACAAACCAAGCTCCTCCTCGGCCATTCAAAAAGAAGAGCTACACAGTGGGGCAGACTTACTGCACAGTCTCTGGCAGGGTTTTTACCATGACGATCATGGATGACAGCTCTGATGCTACCATGACAACAGCAAGTGTCAAACCCTGCCAACAAGTTCAACACATTTCACAGCTCACTGCTGACGATGACATCACAGAGGGACCACTGATTGCCATCCCTGAGGTAAAGACTCCGACTTCACCTTCGGACCTGCCAGCTGTTGACAACAGACAAATGATTAGTGTGGCTGAAGGTCTCGACTTCTGTGGGGCCAGAGTCTCTGTGAAGTCCTTCCCTGCCACCCCTACATCCTCACTGGACAAGCTAAGCCCCATCTCTGGCAGGAAATCACCTTTCATGGCAGCAGTGGTATGCTGATTGGTTGGTTGGTGGTCAGCATGAAAACAAGCATGAAAACAACAACCTGGCAGCAAAATGTTAACCTCTGCAGCACTGACACAGGAAGCGTGGCTTAACACTGGCTCGTCTGAGCTAGTTCAAACTGAATGTCTTGAGCTCCAAAAGACTGTAGATATCTGAGGGACCAGAGTATCAGGAGACCAGGATCTCCACCTGGTGAACTAGGTCTCCTGGTGGTCTGAAAAGGAGATGCTGCAGAAAAGTTGATTTTCCATCAGAAAAAATTGATTACAGGATTTTAATCACAATTGATGCTGGATTAGATCATAATGGATGTTCTGCTCTGTTGTGACTGGTTGTTTTGCATCTTTTGTGGCATTAGCTGATTTCCACGTAATGTGTGTCTTAGACGGTCTTGTTGCTGACAGGTAGTTTTAAAAAACCAAAAGTTTTTCTTATTTAAAGATTACATGATTCCAGCAGGTTCCTCTACCCATCTAAAAGAAATGTGCGACGGTGTCCTGATGCTGACAAATCTTCTAAATTATAAAACTTAAATGGAAAAGTGTGACATGTTGATATTACTGTTTTTATAGTGCTTCCTTCCTATTTCATTGTCTGCCATAGATGGTCAGTGAGTATGTAGCAATCAATCACAACAGAGCTTATCCAATCTAGTGGTGCTGGTCCTTCTCTGTTTTTGATTGGGTTTCCTTCTTCTCCAGGAAGCGGCACCTGTGAGCTGCAGTGTTCAGTTTAAACTCTGCCCAGCTTCTTGCTTCACCTCCTCCCAGAAACCATTTTGTGTCTTCTCCTTTGATCAAAATGGAAAACAGGAAGCTGATCTTTCTAGTTGTTTTCTTCTGTTTGTTGTTGTTTTTTTATCCTTAGTGAGCTTGGGGGTGTGGCTTAACTCCATTTTACTGCTATTTTTCACTTCTGTTTTGGTTGGTTACTTTGACTTTGTAATGCTTTTTTACTTTGTTGGAAGCTGCTGCCTTTTTATTAACATTCCTGTCCATGCGAGGTGTAAGCAAAGAGACAGCAAGTCACAAATCCACCACAATGAGAGATTTCATAATAAGTTGTCTCAGTACTTCATGAGGCCTGTACCACAAAGCAGGATTAGAAGTTTAGCAAGGTAAATGCAAGTTTAACCTTGTCACCAAAGTGGCTCAGTTCCACTGGTGTTGCCATGGCACACTTTAGATAAAAGAACCACTACTGATCAATTAATTCTGTTGGAACAACAAAAGTATCCAACCCTGAGCCAAAGACACTTTTCTCTTAGAGCAAATTGGACTTATTCTTAAAGCAAACTTAGGGATTCTGAAGTTGCCCGTAATCCTTTTATTTAAAAGTCAAAACTAATTGTTAATCCTGTAACGTTGTTGTTTAAGAAGCCTCATGAGGAGTGCTTAGAACTGAGGGGAGATGATGAAGACTGGAAGAAAAAGAACTAGTTAGGTGGGGATTGTCTTGTTTTTGTTTCATTGTTTATTAATGTAAATAATGATTGGACTGGTTGTTATGCAGCTCTTTTCTACTCTACCTGAGCACTCAAAGCACTTTGTACAACATCCCTCATTCACCCATTCACAACAGCATTTGTTTTTATGTATAAGTTCTAACATTTACATTTACCAATTCACACTTTAATGGATGAATAAGAGCAACTTGGTGTTAATAACTTACCCAAGGATATTTGCCACCAGCTTTTCAATTAATAGATGGCTTGCTCTACATCTGAGCTACGTACACCACCCCAGTGTCTAGTTGACATTACAGTTTACTGTATTGTGAACTTTCCCAAAGGGGTGGCTGCAGCTCAGGTGGTAGAGCAGGTAATCTACTGATCGGAAGGTTGGTGGTTCGATTCCTGGCTTCCCCTAGTGTGCATGCCACTTGGGGAAGATACTAACCCCAAATTGCTCTCCGATGCATCCATCAGAGTGTGTGTGTGAATGTTACTTAGAAAGCACCTAGAAAAAATGTGCTTGTGTGAATGCACAAGTTGTGTAAAGCGCTTTGAGTGCTCAGAAGAGTAGAAAAGCACAATATACGAACCAGTTCATTTACCAAATGAGCATCATTAAGAAATATAGATCTTCAGGACAAACTCTGGGTTTTTTTTTCTTTTAAAGGAAATTTAATATTTTCTATAAGCCTTAATGAGCCTTAATATAGCAACCACAAGTAAGCCAGTCTGTCAGTTTTCTTGCTGAAGCTTTTTGAATCAACTGAAGACTTTTTAAGGATGTTTTAAGAAATCCTGTTAATAATCAATTACAGTAGTCTAGCCTAAAAGACTGCCTAACATCACTCTGACACAGGATGTTTCTAATTTCAGAGATATTGGCTACAGTATGTTCTAATCGCTGTAATAATATATTATGGTCTGCAGTATCAAATGCTGCACTGAGGTCTAGCAGGACAAGCACAGAGATGAGTCCACTGTCAGAGGCCACAAAAAGATCATTTTAACCTTCACTAAAGCTGTTTCTGTGCTGTGATGAGCTCTGAAACTGTAACTCTTCAAATAAAATTCCTCTGCAGATGATCAGTTAGCTGTTATACATGAGTTAAAGCCAAAGGAATACTTGGCTCAGCAGAGTTCTGACATTGTGTCAGCCTGGCTTCTAAAAGGGATTTCCAAAAGATTTAGGAATGTGTTCATGGGAATTTCTCACCATTATTCCAAAAGTGCATTTGTGAGGTCAGACATTGATGCTGGATGAGAAAGACTGTCTTGTAGTCTCCACTCTAATTCATGTTGTTCTGTCGTGTTGAGCTCAGGACTTTGTGCAGGCCGTTCAAGTCCCTCCACACCAAAATCACTCATCCATGGCTCTGTGAACCTTGCATTGTTTACTGGTACACAATCATGCTGGAACAAGCCATCCAAAAACTGTTCCCATAAAGGTGGGAACATGAAATTGTCCAAAATGTCTGAAGAGTTACTTAAGAAGAGGGGTCGAGCCCAACACCTGAAAAACAACCCCACACCATAAACGCATCTGCCAAACGCCAAACTCAGACTCATCAGTTGAAATTGTCAGATGGAGAAGTGTGATTTGTAACTCCAGAGACCATGCACTTTACACCACTCCATCTGGTACTCTAGAGAGTCCATTAAGCTCTCTATGAACTGTTCTTGAGCTAATCTGAAGTTTGGAAGTCTGTACTAGTTGTCTCTGCAGAGAGTTGGCGACCTCTGTGCACTATGAGAATCTCTGATTTTGCTTTAAAACAGAGTTGCTGTCATTGCCAGCGCTTCCACTTTGTTATAATACCACTAACAGTGGTATTATAATTAACAAAGACATACTTGTACATTCTTACCCAAAGCTCCTCCATCAAGGTCCTCTCCTCCGGATGCATTTTGGAAACTGAGGCAGGAAGACGAGGAGGCTTTAGATAGGAAAATATCAACATAATTCAAGGCTTTTTTAAATAAGCCCACCATGGCTCCACAGTGTCCCCTGCATGGCTGGAGTTTTATTTTGAGACTTTTAATTACAAGTTTCTTCTTTGTTTTCACTGTAACTGTTGTTTTTTGTGTGTTTGATATGTGCAGCCTAAACCTACATTTGATGATATGTCTCCTGAGCTGACAGCTCTGCTGAAATCAGCCAGAGAGCAACAAACCTTCAGAGAACACGACCTGCTCAAGGTGCCTTTTTCACTAGCTGTCTTCCTTGTTGTCCAGTTGTATTTTTGTCTGGCTCTCTTTAACTCCTCTTTCAGGTATTTTATTGCCTGCCTTCTGTGAGTTAATAAGTCTCTTTTCTCTGTGGATTTAATCTCAGTGTTCTTATGTATGAGAACCAGCACCGCATCTTGTCAAACCTACAATCAGTTCTCCTCACTGCAGCTTCTCTCAGCCAGTAAAAGAAATCCAGCATCCCATCTCAATGCTTTACAGTTTCAAAAGCTAGTCTCAGTCTCCAGGTTTGTGCATTCTGAGCAACAAATCATCTCAGCTTCTCAAGAACCCTCCATTGCCACAATTATTGGTCCGAGTTCTAACACTAAGGACATAAGCAGAGCATGGGTTCTCCTTGCCCCTTCACCAACAGTACTGATCTGATTCATGTCCTCCAGGCTGTTATGACATCCCTGCAAGACATCCACACTCCCCTGCATCCTCTAGCAAGATCATAAAGAACAACCCTGATACCGATCTGCTCCATGACCCTGTAGCAGCTGCTTCACCCTCTTCATACTCACCTCAGTGGTTTCTGGTTATTCTAAGCTGTCCTTTCATTTTCAAGGCTACATATTCACAAAAATATTATAAGTAAAATAAATTAATTTAAAATCCTCAGATCCTGAAGTGCACAGTTTAACTAGTTCGAGCTTAACACATAACTAGCACTGATTAAGAGTCTAATTATAAAGAATTCAAGAATACATTTTTCATCTCAGTGTTCACGTTCCAGCAAATGAATTAAAAGATCACCTGTTTGTAGCTCTTTTGATACGTGGACTATGACAAAGGTTTGTTGTTATTAGACCATGCATGACTTATTTTTTATGTAAGAATTGTAATTGTGCTGTTAAAGAGCATAAAATGGTCTCACAGCTCTGGGAAAGAAATACGTAAATTGAGGTGACAAGGTCACCAGGATTTGAACTGGTCTAAGATTTCTAGTGCATGTACCTGAAAGAACCTTCACCATGAGGTCGAGGTCACTAAAATTCAAATTCATCTGAGACTTTTAGAAGATGGACCTGTGTTGTAAATTTCAAAATCCTACATTGTCTCATTCTCTGATCTCACTTTCACAAACTTGTGTTTCCACACTGCAAACAACAACCCTGTTTAACAGGTCATCTTTTCCAGCTTGCCCATATTCAGATTTTTACTGCATCACACTTTAGTGTACAGTCCATCTCACTGATAAAATTAGCTGGCAGTGGCGCGTGGTTGTTCAAAACTAATATCAGAGGCACATAATTTAAATGTAAGCAAGTAAAGTCATGTGTGTCACTTACTCAGTCGAGGTGCCTCAGTACCCAATCTGCTGGTCACAGTTTCATTTGAAAAAGGTTTATGCACAGATTTAAAGTTCTGGTCCTTGCTGTTTTATAGCTGGTGAAATTCTACACACATATAGTGCTGTGGACATGTTTTGAGGGGTACTGGGGTAACTGGCAGGCAGTTGTTTACCAAACCTTCATCGTAGGCTTTCTGTTCTATTTCCTGGCCTTCAACAGCTTTCCGTCCTTTCTACACCATACTCCTTTCAGTTAGTTATGTCAATACTCTTTTCATATATTATGCCATAGCTAACCTGTTATGTCCATGTCATGCCATCTCCAGCACCACCAGCATTTGGACTCTGGTGGGGTCATTTCCTACTCTATGAATAATCACCAAATATTGCTTAACCTCTGTATTTCGAGAAGGTCAGTTCAATTCAATTCACAAAGAACTGCCATTTACATCAGTCCTTCAAATCGGTTTGCAGCAGAATGACACACATGTGCAGCACTCTCATCAAGGAGACATCACTTGTTAAAATAATCACCTAATGTTCTGTGATTTCACTTCGTTTTTCAGACTTCAGAGAAGGTGGAGACAATAATGCTGGTGACAGAGCCACATGACGAGGACGAGGCAATGGTGGACCAGCAAAAGGTAGCAAAAGAAAGTCATGTGGGCATGCCCTTTAGTAATCTACCAGCCAACCCAGCAGGTGTTGATGATAGCACACAGCAATGGGCCTGTGACAGTTTTAATGATGGTCGGGCTAATAGTCCAACAAGTGATGATGATGATGATGATGATATTAGCTACGAGCCCAGCAGCCAGGCTAGCGATGACAATGCTAGTGAGATTAGTGAGGATGCCGTCAGTGTGCTGGTACAGGCAGCAGTGGAGGAGGCCATCGAAGCTGCAGTCAGAGAGACTCAGGCCCCCAACGCTAATGACACTAATCAGGATAACATTAACAACAAGATAGCAGTTAGCTTTTGTGAACAGGAGCAAGCTAGCTCTGTCCTGGACTCTCAAACACCTGGGACTCTGCATTACACTGACAACGAAGACTCAGACGACTCACAGGAAGATGAAGGAGGGTGGCAGTTTGAAGAAAACTCCCCTCCGCCCTCTTTACTCCATCCCACATCCAGGCACTTGGCCCATCAGATGCAACCATCTGCCCACAGGGATGACGATGAGTTCAAACCACTACAGGAGGTAACACCTGAGACACTTGCCCAAATGGCATCTGCGACTCCTATACTAGTTACCCTTGCCCCATTTCACCACCCTGAAACTGCACCTACCCCACCTGACCTAGTGACCTTTGGCCCATTTCTTCCTTAAAATCTAATCTACCCTCTGTTCACATGAATACATCGAAATATTTTGTCAGTCAGACGAGAGTTTGATATATTTTCAAACTCTTGGCCGACTTTCCCGTTTTTCCTAATTTTGCTTAAAACATAGATTGTATATCAGATGGGCATAGCTTCTGAGTCTTGAAAGGGAAGTCAATATGGAGACCAAGCAACATCTCATTTGACTGCAAAAGGTTTATGAGTGGTTTTAAAGAGGTTTGTGGGAAAACCTCCCTCGGCTCTCTTGCTTCCTAATGTTAGTAATTTTATTTATTCCTGGTGACTTTATGGGCTCAGTGGCTAGTTTGTGAAGACAAAATTCATTAATTTGTAAACTAGAGTATGACCATTGGCTAAGAACTAGACCCCCTTTTAACTCAGCATTACCTGTTTCAGAATATTACGATGATAAAGGCAAGAACACTCAGTTTGAGACCTCAGGAACCAGTGCTGGTGCTGGCTGTAAAGGGTTCAATTTTGCCTCTTTTAAGAGGCAACATTGATTAGAAAGATAAACACTCTGGGAATGAGGAAGACTAAGTGTTTAGTTTAAGAGGTCAGTTTGTACTATTTAATTAGGTGAAAAGAATTCAGAGGATTACTTTGAAGTGATGTAAAAGTTTACTGCGTAGTTTAATCAATCAAAAGATGTGTAGTTAATATGAGTAGTACCAGAAATAGATGGATACATAAATATTTTTCCCCAGACTGACATCCTGTGTTTTATCCTCAACATTTTTTTTTCATCAGTACAAAAATGTGCTGGTATTTGGTTATTACTCTTCCTCATGGGCTGATGTTCATACTTGTTTCAGAGCCAAGTAGAATCTGATACTCCTGCTGGTCTGCTGCTGAGCTCACACAGCTACACTACCGAGACCTCCAACACCACTACCACCACTCACATCACCAAGGTAACACAGGACCAAGGTACCACCATAATACGCAAGATTTACATTACTGCCATGGCAATACCACCACACACCCATCAACAAAATGACATGATAACTATGGGAGCACTACTGCTACTACATGAGCCCCACACGTGTCACCATGGTAAAACCATAACCTAAGAAATCCCACTGCAAACCATGGTAATATTGTCATGGCTGAAAAGGTTTGTTGAAACTATTAAGGGTTTACAAACAGCATTAAAAAGCTGAGAAAAGGTGAAAGATAAAGACGCTTGACTGAATTCGGATGTTTCTCCCTTTTCTTCTTCAGATGGCAAAAGGGGGGATTTCTGAAACCAGAATAGAAAAGAGGATTGTGATTTCTGGAGATACAGAAGTTGACCACAACCAGGTAGCTTGAATGTTGTTGTTTCTGTAATGGTGTGTTCAAGGGATGAGGACAGAAGGGTTGTTAAAAAGTTAAAAAAACGGCAAGCTTCATTCACTCATACACAGAGCATTTTATTTTATGCACTTTAAGCAATTAACCACAACATTTGCAACCAATTTGGAATCGCCTAACATGCATGTCTTACACTGAACAACACTTTTGTTTTTGCTCCGATTTTTCACGAGCTGAACTTAAAGATCTGAAACATTTTCTACACACACAAAGGACCCATTACTATCAAATATTGTTCACAAATCTGTCTAAATCTGTGTTAGTGAGAACTTCTCATTTGCCGAGATAATCCATCCCACCTCACAGGTGTGGCATGTCAAGGTGCTGATTAGACAGCATGAATATCGTGTGCCTTAGACCAGCGGTCCCCAACCCCCGGGCCTCGGACCGGTACCGGTCCGTGAGTCGTTTGGTACCAGGCCGCGAGAGTTGAGGCTCAGGTGTGAAATGTATAGTTTTCAGGGTTTTTATCGGTTTTCAGCGTGATTTTGTTATCGTTTTTATCGTTTACTCTATTTTCCTGGGTCTTTTCACGTGTTTATGAATAAATTTTCTTTTTTTCGGTACCGGTACCAGTTTTATTTTGTTGTATTTATCCGCGACACCTTAAAGGCCGGTCCATGAAAATATTGTCGGGCATAAACCGGTCCGTGGTGCAAAAAAGGTTGGAGACCGCTGCCTTAGACTGCCCACAATAAAAGGCCACTCTGAAATATGCAGTTTGATCACACAGCACAATGCTACAGAGCTACACTTTCCTAACATACTAAGCTATGCTAGCATGCACTTAACATCAGTCTGCTCTTTTCTTAACTAGCTTAGCATAGACATGATCAGAGTGATAATCTAAGAATAAAAATGTCTCCACACTGTAAATATCAGTCTCAGGGTCTGTTCTGAGAATAATGCCATGGAATCTTTGAACTACAGTGTGTCTCACTGCTCCTTCTGTCTCATTTTCAGGACTGAATCTGGACACCCAAGGGGTTTAGTATAGAGTGCATTGCCAGAAACAAAACTGTTGGCTGCAGCATCCACCGAGCATGGATGAACTGATGATTTGGACACACATTCATGCATGGACACACATATATACAGCATCGCCTGCCTATCTCACAGGGGGTGGAACCAATGGCTGAGTTAGCATTAGTTCGATAGTGTGACTAGATGAGTAGATTTAACTGAAAGTTTCACATGCAGCGCAGAGATGGGAGAGAAAGACGTGTTTCCATAGCAACAGACAACCTACACTGGACCTTCACTATGAATCAGCTTCTGAAGCATTTACTTATATAAGCCTTCCCCCACACCTCATTCCCCAACACTCTAAGGTGGGCATCTGATTGGCTAGCTGACTCAGGTGTGCTTGCTCCTCTATTGTTGGGAGACAGCAGCTTTTCAAAACATTTAGCCTGACATCTGAATGATAGTGCTTCGAGCTTTACCTGTTGAGAAACTTGATGCGTACTATCACCAGCTGATCAAAACAGTTTCCTGTCTAACAAGAAAAAACAGCTAAAACTCTGCTTTGAATTTACCCATAATGCAATAGTAATGTGCCATTCGCTAAACCTTCCACGAAAATGACGATGAATCATTCATGTGTGTGTGTTTTTGATTTCTGTATCCATTTATTTATTAAATTACAAACTGATCACAGCCCCTGATTACTGACTACTTTCTCTGTTGTATTAGAGACTTCTGCTTCCCTGGTACCAAACTGACCATCACCTCTTTGTGAAAGTTTACCAACGTATAAGAGACAGACGTGTCCCAATTCAGCGGCTAAATCCTTCAAATGATACTGTATACAAAGGATGCAGTCTCCATAGATCAGAAATGGTGAACCAAAGAAAGGTTTCCTATTGCATCGTTTAAAAGTTGTGAAAGCCAATGGCACTGCTCATGCTGTGAAACTCGTTATAGCTTGTTATAGCTTATACTGTAAAACGTTGAAAATGAGCTCAATATTAAATATTGAAATACTGTGAAATACATTATTGAAACATAATGTGAATCTGAAAACATCAGGTATAACAGCAAAACAATAACGTGGATCCGTGTAGTCATTTTCTTTAAATTAGACAACACTATTGCAAAGCAGGGAAATTTCACCGATCTTCAGCTGTGTATTGAGGTCTGGCATCTGGACCCTGTCAACCAGAAATAAAGACGCAAATGAGGGACCACAATGGAGACACGGGTTTCTCTTTTATGACATACACTATGTTGCCAAAACAAGCCATTCACTTTTTTCCTTTTTTTTAATATATAGCACTAAATCAGTTGCCTCAATGACCTTGTCTTCCACAGGGAGGTAAAGACCCTACAATATTAGAAAACAGAGAAATCCTAACAACCCGCTGACCCCCTATGAGCAATTGCATTGGCAACAGTGGGAAGGAAAACCCCCCATTTAACAACATGAAACATCTGGCAGAACCAGGGTCAAGGAGGGGTGGCCATCTGCTGCGACTGGGTGGGGATGAGGGGAGGAACACAGGCCAAAGACACGCTGTGGAAGAGAACCAGAGATTACAAATACCTAATGATTAAATGCAGAGAGGTGTATAAGGATGACACAGAGAGTGAGAAATGTAAAGAAGTGAAGAAACAGAGGCTAACAGAGCATCTTTTGTGACCTTCACAAGTGCTGTTTTTGTACTGTGATGAATTTGGAATTCAGATTGAAACTCTTCAAAAGAAAAAACGTTCCTTTCCATGTGATCAGTGTTTTACAACTACTCTGTGAAGAATGTCTGAGATAAAAGGAAGGTTGGAGATTGGCCTAAGACAGCTGATGGCTTTTTTAGGAATGTTTTCAATTAAAGCCACCCTAAAGGCCTGGAATACATAGGTTTTTGATCATATTTAATATTAAAGCATTAATTAATTGTTGGACATTTTGGTCTAATAGAACTTGAACAGCTTGAATGGCTTGAATGAAGCAGTAACTGAAATTACTCAGAAAGATCAACTGGAGAGAACAGTTTAAATAAATATCAATAGGATTTAAAGTAGCTGTATAATGACATGTCTTTGGGATGTTATACAGTTTACTCTAATGGGTAAACTTTTATTTATGAAGAAATTCATGATTATTAATGTTAAAGGAATGCTTGGCTCAACAACTTTGTCTGCCTGGCTGCAGTGATGAAAAAAACCTGCAGTATTTTTCATTTTCTTAGTCAGATTTTCCAACTGGAATCTTGCTTCAGGATGGTAGCAGTGCACATAAACAGGAGTAAAACTTAAACTTTTACTCTGTACTACCACTGTTGTCTTGCACAGAGAACTGACTCTACAAATAAAAATAAACCAACAACAGGTGTTATGCAAGATTGCTTACCAAGAGCAAAACAAATTCTCTTTCCTCACTTTTCCAATTTTACTACTGGAGCAGCTTCCAAGCGCTGTCGACTCAGGAGTCGTGTCACTCTTGGCTCTGACATCCAACTTCAGAGGTAAATGGACGGCAGCATTAACATCTCCAAAGGTGAACCACAGACGGTTGAAGTACCCACAACAGGTCAGGGATGACTTGTTGCCAAGTGGAGGAATTAAAGTATCTTTGGGTCCTGTTCATGAGTAAGGAGAGAATGGAGGGAGACTGATAGACTGATTGGTGCAGCAATGGAGAAGTTTGACAAATTCATTGTTAACCGGGTCAGGGCCGAACCAGGACATGTGAGATTCACCCATGTGAATCTGGCATTACAGAAATACACTACTGAGAGATCCCCACTGATCATTGCTCTCTTTGTTTCGTGTTATATACAGATCACTCCCCTGATATGCAGTCTTGCATTAGTCCTGTGCAGAGCCTACACTTTGCAGAATATTGTTTACATGTTGTAGCTGTTTGCTGTCAGCAGGGGGGTTGTGTCACAAACAACTGCAGTGTTGCCAACTCCTCAGTAAGAAAAATCCCTATTGGCTGTCCTAAAAGTTGCTAGAAATCGCAAGATGACGTCATCCCTAAGTTGCCTAATTGGTTATGCTTATGTAATTGTAACCTACTGTTGGATACAGAAATAACATCGTGAAGGAGACATGAAGTGAGTTTAAAACAACACTCTAAATGCATTTAGAATATATTTAGAACTACACATTAAATTTATTTTAGCAATTATTGTTTTTTTTAATGTCACACTTCCAAATGTCTTCCTTTGTCCGGGCTTGGGACCGGCAAAAGTGACCCGAAATAGGTACGTGTGTGTGTGTGT